AGATGATTTGATTACTCCTCAAAATTAAATACAACCTTTAATATTTTAGGAACTGACCAAAGAACAAGTGACTGCAGAACAAACATCTGTAGAACTAACTGTGGAGTGAATGTGGGGTGGGATTTCCTCATGCCTTAATTAGTACAGAAGCAACATGCTCAGTATGCTTACATTGTAAATATGACTCAAAATTAGCCATTTTAAATAAAAGGAAAATTAACAATTACAATAAATAAAGAAAAGGTAGCTGAAAAATATCCAAAATACATGCAGATTATCTGAAATGTCTATTAGATCCATGAATATTTTTGCATCTGAGAACTAACAAATTTCAGAAATTACTGTTTGTTTCCCTTTCAATCAAAGACCACCATGATATGTCCATCCCGCCTAATCAGCACTGGGTGAAGGCTCTACCTGATGCTGCGAGATACAGAAAGAATAAGGTTGGAAGAAGAAAAAAAATTGATTAGTTTTTAATGGCATACAATTTATATATGAAGTGCCCAAATCAATAAATAAATAAATTCATTAAAAATTTTAGCAGGACATCTGGATACAATATTAAAGTAAACCCCCAAATTTCCTCTTTATATTAATTTTATTTATTATGAGAGTGCAGGTACACACATCTGTACACATGTGCAAGCATGCGTGTAGTGTGGCACACATGCCATAAGATAGGCATGTGGAGTTCCTTCTCTCCTTTTACATTTATGTAGCTTCCAGAGATTGAACTCAGGATGTCAGGATGAACAGCAAGCACTTTCACCCACTAAGTCATCTCACCAGCTCCACAGATAACATTTCTATACATCAATTATAGTTAAAAATGGAAATTCAAGAAGGGCTTGAGGGATGGCGGGAGGAATGGTGTGTGCATTTCCTGTGAGGAGGAAATGTGGGACAAACAACAAAGTCAGAAGAAGAAAGTGTCGGGGGATGCCGTAAGAAAGAGCAGTTGTGAAAAGACCTGTGTGGTCTTACAGAACAAAGAGCTATGGGGAAACATATTAGTCATTGTGTTATGCTAACAGCGTAGACATTAATCTGCCGTCATCATTTTAACCCCCCAATCCGTTACTGCAATGGGGACCCCATGGCTTGGAATTTCATCAGGAAATTTCATGTGAGAATGAGAATGGACCCGATGCCTGGATTCCTGAGAGATTCACATCCCAGGAAGGGATAACTTCCGGTTAGCTCACAACTAAAGCTACATGTGGATATGACCTGATCTTTGTTTCATTCTTTCTTAGAATACATAAATTTTACCAGTAAACTGGGAATGGCAAATAGATTGAGAATTTCACTATCACCAGTATTTAACCAAAACTATAAGCAAACAAATCCAAACTTTACGATGGCTTCCTATCTATCTCCAGTTTCCATGAGAGAAAGTCACTCATGTCTTCTGCTTTGACAAAGGAAGAGCAAGCAGTGAGCAAAGGGGACAGCAGCAGAGAAAGGCACCTGGTGCAGAGAGGAATCAACTATTCAGGAGACCCCATCAGACTGAGGAAGTCAGGAAAGCTATGTCAGAACAGGAAGGCACAAGGGCGTCTGCAAGAAGGTACAGTCATCTCAGAAAGTCAGACTTTGAGGACAGTGTGCTATAAACATCTGTAATCATTCTAAGAATTTAGGATATTTCTTAGGCATAGAAAACATGAATGCTTTCTGCTTTTGTTTCTATGTATTTTGTGATATCTTCCAATAATGTATGCATACATTAAGGCTAACAAGAGTTTCTCATTTAAATCATTCTATCCCAATATTTAAGCTAGTACTAACCCTGTATAGAAATCAACAAATATTGATTGAGTGAAATTGGCAATGATTATGATGTAAAAACAAGCAAAAAAAAAACCGATATTCTCAAAACTTCTCTAGTTGACAAACTTAAACATCCACTGCAGTTTCGCTATCCTCCCATGTTTGGAACCTAATCCGCTGATATTACTTCTAGGCTACATCAGTCTCCAAGGTTACAGAGATACTGAAGGCAGCAAAGACGACCCCTTTCCTCACACTGTGTCCACAACACAGACACAAAGGGGAGATGGCTTCAGCAGCTTTTCGGGGAAAACTTAACTGCACTCAAGTAAGAGCCCCAATTTCATAACTAAAACGAGGCAAACAGGGGGTGAAAAGATGGCCCAGTGGGGAAGAGTGCTTGGGACTGTTGCAGAACTGAGTTCAGCTCCCAGCACCTACATTGTGAAGCTCACAGCTGTCTGCAACTCTGTTTTCAAGGGACATGACACTTCTGGTCTTTGCAGGTACATGGACTCCTCTCTCTCTCTCTCTCTCTCTCTCTCTCACACACACACACACACAAACACACACACACACAAAGAGAGAGAGAGAGAGACAGACAGACAGACAGACAGACAGATGAGAGAGAAATACAAAATAGAAAATAAAAAGAATGCTTATAAAAATGGCAATCCAAAGAGTAGAAAGAAGTCTTATGTGAGAAATTTATAAAATCTAAAAAAAACGTCAGATAAGAAAACAATAATTATATTAAAGGATACATAAAAATCAGAAGCATTAAACAAGATGAAAGACTACAAAGTTAAGATACCAAATATAATTATTTTACTGTGCAATTAAAATACAACTTAGCAGAGATGGAAAACTAAATCCATTTACTTGCCTTTCAAGAACATGTAAAAGAAAATAATCTACGTATAGTCAAAAAACAATAAATTCCCTAAAGCAATTTTATTTTATACATGATGAATGTATTTTTGACTGTAATATTATAAACTTAGAGGCAAAATTAAGAGAAATATTAGACATTGAAAAATAAATTCCAAAGAAGAAATTAAAACTGACATTATACTATATAAAACATATAGCCGGGCGGTGGTGGCGTACGCCTTTAATCCCAGCACTTGGGAGGCAGAGGCAGGCGGATCTCTGTGAGTTTGAGGCCAGCCTGGTCTACAAGAGCTAGTTCCAGGACAGGCTCCAAAACAACAGAGAAACCCTGTCTCGAAAAACCAATATATATATATATATATATATATATATATATATATATATATATATAATATGGGTAGCACTATAAATAGAAATAAGCAGTGCCCAAATTATTTTAAATTTGGGTGTCTTTATGTGTTTTTGTATGCACACACGTTTTCAGATGGGTCTGTGTGTACACATGCCTATAGCAGTCAGGGAACATCCGGTGTCTTCCTTGATTGCTCGCCACCGTTTTTTTCTGAAACACTACCTCTCAGTAAACCTGGGGCTCACGGTCAGCTAGACTGGATGGAGTCCAGAGGTCTGCGTGCCTCCAGCCCCCTACTCAGTGCAGGAGTTACAGATATTGACCATGGTGCCCAGCTTTTATTGGGTTCTGGCAGGTCTCAGCTCTACTCTTGAAGCTTATATAGCAAATTTACTGACTGAGCTATTTCCCTAGGCCATAGTTACTTTAATTAAAAAAAAATCTTAAAAGCAAGAATCACAAATTTATAAAGGACTTTACAGAAACTCACATTAATAGAAGAACAGCTGTGATCAGTCTTTGCTCACCTCTTGATATTTAGTCTGCCTTGTTCTGTTTTCTGCATGTCACACTGTACCTGCATACTGCTTACATGCATACATATATCATTAGCTAGGTTCCTTATATGAGGAAGAATATAATTATTTGGCCTCACTTAATGTTATACATTTGAAGTCCATCCCTTCTCCTGCAAATTTTGTGATGCAATGCTGTTTAAAACATATAAAAAATGCACCACTTACATCTCCCACAGAAATTATTGCTGTGGGAGCTCCTTCAGCTCTTCCAGCCAATAGCCTTTAAGATACCAGCCCACTTGGGCATGGTCTTTTATACTATAAATGCAGCTGTAAAGTCTGTGCTTGCTCTCTTGCTTCAGGCTCTCACTTCCGGCTGCTAGACTCTGTTCTTGTTCACCCATTTGTGCAGAGGACCATGATCTAGGAAAGTTATCTGTGAGTCTCCTCGAAATAAATAACCCTTTATTATACATAATTCTGAACTAGGGTGGGATTAGTTTGTATCTTCCACCATCAAATTATATTCCAAACAAGCGAATATGCAAAGTGATACTGTCACCCACTGGTGAGAAGAGTGGAGACAGGGATGGTGCCAGCAGCCTGAGGAGATCTGGGAATCTTTTAGGGACCTCCACTTAGGCAAAACTGGGTCTTTGGCAATACTACAGAAAATAATTTTAGGATTCCAGCTTTAATATCTGTTTAAAACATGTTAATCAATTTAAAAACACAGATTTGTACAAAGAGAGGCCCTCAGGAAGGAAGGCACACCTTAGAGCAAGAACTTTAAAACAACTGTTTGTGTCCTTGATCCAAAAACATTACAGAGTAAAAAAAAAAAAAAAAAAAAAAAAAAGAACGACTGTGGAAGGAACAAAATTTGCAAATAAAACTCTCTGGGTGCCAATAATCATTAACAATCATTTCCACCTTGTTTACATGTCCCGAAGGCATGCACTAATCATGTCACTACAGTGGGGTCTATTTGAAAGCACAGCAACATGAAACCACACAGCCTTCTGGGAAAGCTGACTGAGCAGTGCCATGACTGCCACACTTTGCATCTATCTACAAATTGCTCCCCTTTAATGTGTCCCATGATATTGTCCTCCTTCAGAAGCAAATCCTCATTGCTTTGCATGTTCATCAAAATACATGTGAGGTTTACTGAAGACTTCATTTGCAGAATCATTTCATAGATAAATCTAAGTTATCATCATATTTTTATAGAAAGTAAACTCTTGAATGACCACATACCATACACACAAAAATCTATAGTCAATCATACATGATAATAACATGTGGATAATAAATGTTTAAGGTAAACAGAATCATGTAGCTATATCTTGCCAGCATATCACTAACTTTCAAGGGCTTTTTCTAAGTGTGATAATAACCAGTATCCACGGATAGTCCATGTGAACTTTCATTAGAACATGAGTGGTTATATTACTCACCTAATTGCATCATTGGTCTCTGAAACAGCTCTCAAGTATTCCTTCAAAAAATAATAATTAAAGCAATACTTCCGGATCCTAAAGCCACGCCATCGTCTCTGAATCTATTAATGTAAATAAAAAGATAAAATATGCCATTTAACGTTTTTTAAACAATATACCTCTTCAAATCAAGATAATTATGCATAATGACTTCTATCAAATAAAGGTTTGGACAATGCTCCAACTAGACATCTTATGCAACCACATAGCCAGGAATGGGCTTCATATGCTGAGTCACTGGCTAAGGAGGTTGCATGGACCAGCCCTTTCAAACATCATAGGCTACTAAGGCTATTTGGTTGTTCTTTAAAACTTGATGATAAAACTGTGGTGCTGAAGGGAATATTTATGTCGTCGAACAGGGAGACGTCAAGCTGGTGTACAGCTGAAAGCTGCACTCCTACTGACAAGCATTCATGATGCTGCAAGGTACTCCGCATGCCACTATAGGAAAAAGTGACTGTCAATGTCAGCCAGCTACCAACCTGGCAACTTACAACAGAGACATGCCTGCAAGATATGCTCATGGGATTGCGGCACAAATGTAATATGAATACCAACCTTTTGATTGAACTTAAGGTCCATGCCATGAGATGGAGCCCATATCTGACATTGCTAAAGTGGCAAAAAACCTGACACTAGATAGGTCATGAGCATTGGGGAAAACATTATATTTATTCTGTGGTGTGTGTGTGTGTGTGTGTGTGTGTGTGTGTGTGTGCATTAGCACATTCTCATGTGTGGGTGCATGTGTGGATAGAAGTGAAAGCCAGAGGTTGAAGTCAGAATTTTCTTGATCACTGTCCCCATTATTTACTTAGGCAGCTTCTCTAGCAACAGCCAGATCCGGCTGCTTCAGCAAGTCTAACCAGGCAGCTTTCCCCATACCTGGTCTCTTCCTCTCAAGCACTGGGACTGCAGGTGTAGGCCATCATTGCCACCGCTCTTATATAGCTACTGGGGATGCAAAGCCCCATCCTCACGCTTGGATCAAAGCTCTTTATCCACTTATCAAATTCTTCCCTATGAAGCTGCTCCCTTAGTTATTTGGTCACAGCAACGGAAAGAAGAGCTAATACAACTACCAATAGCACTGCCGGTTGGATTAGGCCTTATTGAAGTAAACTGTTAAACGAGCCTGTCTTTTAAAAAATATTCTTTTTTAACTTTTTTATTTTTGGTATTATGTCATTTTCCCTTCTCTTCCCTCCCCCCAAACCCTGTTCTCTTTGGAATTCATTGTCTTTTCTTTAATTGTCATCATATAAAAATTAACAAGGCTCTGGGTTCAAATCTTTAGTACCACCAAGGGGAAAAACCTGATAGCTAAAGTCGCATTTACTTACTTTTCACTTTGAATAGTTCCTCCCTAGTAGCCCAGAGTAGCCCGGAACTCATGATTGATGCCAGGCTATCTTCAAATTTATCATCTCGCCTGCATTTCCCAAGTGCTGGGCTGGCGACAGGTGCTAGCAGTTACACCTGGTACTGCCCTGAGTCTTAACCATGACTTCTTGTTGCTATTCTAGTAATGTTAACAGCTACTATTTGGTGACTTCTCGCACGTCAGGGGGTATCCTAAGCATTTTACTTATGTTATCTTCAGAACACTTTTATGTGAAAAGTATTATTTTAGCTCATTCATAGAAAACGACAAAAAACAGGTTATGTAGTTTTCTCGTAGTCAGCTAGCAGTGGTAGATCTAAATTAAGCTGGAGCAGTGGCAAATCTATTCTTCCAGTCACTACGAGCAGCACTGGGAAATAAATGGGTTACAATTTCCAACCCATGGAACTTCTTTTGAAGCTGTCATCTTCAAATGCCCCTCCCCCCGAAATCCAAATAGTTTACTTCCACCAAAAGACAGAGCTTCACTTTTCTGGGGTGAGAGAAGTGTTGGGGCTGCACAGTAACACACTTAAGGGCAGCTCCTGGTCATCTTGCAAGCTCCCAGTCATCCTGAGAATCTGTCTCCTTTGATAATATATTCACCAGTTATCAGAACAATTCAAACTAAGACACAAAATATGATATCAATTTAGTGGATAAAAAATGTCTGCACTTAGTTAAAAATATGGAAGGAAGCACTGAGAATCATTGCTAGCCTTCCAGCAGTATTTTTGTTTTGGTTTGTGTTTTAGCTAAAGGTATTAAGCCTAAATATACACGTAAGTGGAATGTGGAATTGATACTGAATACACAATGATGTTCTCTGTCATTTAAAAGAGCTATTTAAAAGCATTTCACAATCATTTGACAGTCTGATATTTGTGGGGATTTTAATATCTTAGTCAGCCTTTTGGTATGAAAAAAATTATTAAAATACAGGAAACAGCCACAATGGTGAGGCTATTGAACCAGAGACATGAATCTTAGGAATCAGAATGAAGCAACACTATAGCTACATCAAGAGCTTGTCAATAAAATGTTTTTCAAGTTATGTTCAATTACTCCTTTCTCTTTAGTTAATTATCTTAGCCATGGGAGAGCTGCAACTGAGTGCAGTGCTTGCAGAAGCCAGAAGGTAGCGGATTCCATTGCTGGAGTCACAGGCTGGTGTGAGCCACCTGGCGTGGGTTCTCAGAGCCAAATGTCCCATGGAAGAGCAGCAAGAGCTTGCAGCTACTGAGCAGAGGATCTCATCTTAGAGATCAGTTTTTCAGATTAAAAAAGATTGTTATAAAATGATACGATATTCAATTTGGAAAGTCTCCATAATTTAACCAAAATCATAAAATATCTGACAACCTGGAGGAATTGGTACAAACCCTTCTCAATGAAACAGAGAAACAAATCAAAGTTTACATACATAAATAATACATGCAAATAGGAGAGTATTTTCTTGTTTCATCTAACTTAATGTTCTCATTTTATGCTGAGGTATCGATATAAGGCTCATTCAAAAGAAGAGAGAAATGATGCTTAGTGAGGTCCAATGAGTGCCTAAGGCCACATGGGTGGCTGGGTGGTGTCTGATGCTCAGTATCTCCTATCTATTGACAAAGCAACGCTGGTATCAACTATGAGGCCATCTGGAGATATGCACTGCAGGAAACACGTGCACTCAGTGATGGTGCTGAGGAACACATACCCGGAAATGTTACCAGATTCAAAGAAAATCAACATCTCAGCAGACATCGAGATGTTTTTGAGGAGTGAGTGTGTGGCTAAAAGTCTCTGTACGGCAGAACAGAAACTGAGGCCATTTCTGAGAAAAGCAGCCTGTGCATACAAACATAAACCTGTGCTAATCCACAAAGGGGATTCCTGGGGGCGGGGCACGGCAATGGCCCGGGATCCTTCTTTCCCCAACTCTAGCTAGTACTGGAAAGAGTGGCAACCTCATCCACACAGGCTCAAATGGAACCTTCTGTGACCCTGATATTCTTGGCACATATCCTATTCAGCAAATCTTTATTCACAATCATATACTGAAAAAGTAAATATAGCAAGTGATATGAAAACTCATCCACACTGAAGCACAGGTAGGGTTACTACTGCTGGGAAGAGTCACCACCACCAAAAAGCAAGCTGTGGAGGAAAGGGTTTTCTTGGCTTGCATGTCCACTTTCACTGCCAGATAACAGTCCATCACAGAGGGAAGAAAGGACAGAAACACAAAGAGGGCAGGAACCTGGAGGCAGGAGCTGATACAGAGGCCATGAAAGGTTGCTGCTTACTGACTTGCTCTTCATGGATTGTTCAGCCTATTTTTTATAGAACCCAGGAATAACAGCTTAGCTATGGCAACATTCACAAAGGGCTGGGCCTTCTCCCAGCACTAGTTAAGAAAATGCCCTACAGGCTTGCCTGCAGCTTGATCTAATGGGAGGCATTTACTCAGTTGAGAACCCCCACTTCTTTGATTACTTTAGCTTGTGTCAAGTTGACATTAAACTAGCCATCACAATAAATAATCACTCCTTAAGTGGCTTTGTGTAAAATGAGTGTCTAGAAGGAGATGGAAGGAACTGAGCCTTAGGTGAACAGGGGAACAACTGTCAGGGACGTGAACAGGCTGAAAGTCATTTGCTTCTTGCATTGCCAAGTATCACACTAATGGATTCCATTCAAGCACTCCTTATGAACAAGGCATGGGCTCATGTTAACATGAAGAAACAGGGGAGTAATTTACTCAAGCTCATCTATCCACTACAAAAGCAAATGGCAGAGTCAGGACAGAAACCCATGTATGTCTTGCTATAAAGTCCACACTTTTGACACCATTGTCTTCTGTGAACACTACAAGGAGAAAGAAAACGTGTCTTTAATCTTGAAGTCACATTTTCTTATAGCTGGGGGTGGGGGTAGCTAGCGTAACAGTTTCTGGTTAGTATAGACATGGTATATATGTGAGTAAGGAATCTGCTATCCTTACCTACTGATATGGGGGATTTTGTATATTTCTTGCTGATATTTGAGTCCTGGTGGATGGACAAGTTTTTAAAAGAAAACATATTCAAGAGCCAGAATAAATCTTACAATATTGTTTTTCTTAATTTTAAGGTGAATGAGTGACAACTTCAAAAAAAAAAAAAACAAAATGAAATAAAACACAACCATAAATGGCTAGTATTCATGCCCTTCAAAGTAATTAGAAACTTTCAGAAGTGATTGGAATAAAACAATTATTGTCATTGATCAGCTCTGAATAGATAATTTTAAACAAAGCCATGGTGTGCTCAGCGGATTACAGCTTGTTAACCGGTAAGTTCTAAATGACCTCTTAAACGAGTCAGACCAGTGATGCATACTCCTCATTAAGTAACATCGCATTGCAAGTGGTCTTATAAATAATGTTTATTTTAAGCACTGAGACAAATGGCAAAACCTTGGAACAGCAAAAGCCATCTGCTCATAGAAAAGGTTTCCTCCACTACGTTTATCATTATTCCCCAAATCCATAGTGATCTGAATGTCAGTGGAAGAGGAACAAAGGTCTTTTTTCCTAAAACAGAAGTGCAGGGAGCCTGGAAAGTGGAAACGCTAACAATGTCCTACCCAGTTTTGATGCCCTGGTGTACATCCTTGGACCATGGCAGCACTCGCTCTTCCTCGGATCTCCTTATCTTTGCTTTCTCTAATGGTCGGTTTAAGTGCTTTGCATGTGTAATCTTAGTAACAAGGGGAGTGAAGAGACATTCCTTTGCATGGAAATGGAGGCATCATGATGTATACACTTGACATTGTCTAAGGTATCCTTCCTATCTTGACAAAAACACTGAAGTTTGTGACTAAGACTATGTTCTTCACTCTGCAGCCACAGAAACAGGATGCCATTTCCAATCTCTGAGACTGTCAGTATCTTCTTTCTAAAAAAAAAAAAATTAGCTATGTGCGTCTTAAATTATGAAAGTTGTTACTGTAAATTATGCTTCCTTCATGGCACAATAAATATGATCAAAATTATAAGTAGTCTAAAGGACTGAGATGAAAGTTTATAGATGACATATTTAACCACTGTAAAGTCACTATATAATTTTTCTTACACTCGTCATGTTTTAGGCATTAAATAAACAAACAATTTGATATTGTGACTTACATTAATTCATAACTGTAAGAGAAAGTGAGTCCCTAAAGTTACAGCACTTTGCAAATTTGTTTTAAGTCATTTTTAGTGTTCAAGCTGTTATGTTGTTATTTCCCATAAAGCGAACACTTCAATCTGAACTGAAGTGATTGGGGTGCTAAAATCAAGACAAATCACTGAGAATGAGAATCTGCTGGCCTTCTCCCAGTCCTAGTCGCTTTGCTAAGCAATGACATCTGATTGAGCAATCACTATAAAGTGTTCCAGGACAAAAGGGATTCTCCAAGAAACAGTCATTACATCTGCCATCCAGTCCATCCCTACCAGAGTGCCTACTTATGGAATTTAAATAGCTTAACCATCCCCAGAAAAAGCAAAAATGATCTCTTCTAACAAGGGTGCTTAGTCCTTAGTGATGCAGAGAAAATTGTTTAAGGCAAAGGACTTCTTTTTAAAACTCCATACATAGGAAAGAATAAGAGGGAGGGACAGCATTGACTGATTGTCCTGAGATATTTATTTAACCACCTTCCATAAGTCAAGCATTGGAAACTGAAGAATGGCCATCTCTGGGTCCCAAGAGACTTCCAGCATAGCTGTGGTGGAGGTTGGGATGTAAATTAGGAAGAATAATAAAATGTTACCAGTTTTAATAGAAAAAAAAACATGTCTACGGTAAAGTAGAGAAATAAAACTTCAGAGAGTGACTGACTCTACAGGAAAAGGGGATCATGAATTTTACATAGAAAAGGTAGCCCTTTAAAAATACAGCAAGTTGGGCTATTATATATAATGTCTATTATATAAAGCCAAAACATTTTATGTATTTGTTCTGCATTAGAAAAGTATGAACACTTACCTAGTACTGACTGCTCTACCCCATAGCCTCTAACTACTGAACAGTGTTCGTCACGCTAGTGTTGGGTTTTCTTTTACTCTAGCCCCACATTGCAATGCCAAAATTGTTGTTGTTTGTGTTTACTCTTTTTACTCTTTTGCCTTTTTAAGAGGCCCACCAAACAGATCCCAAATAAATCACACATGGAATCTTATTCTTTCTTATAAGTGCCAGCTTTTCTTATCTCAAATTATCCCATCTATCTTTTGCCTCTAGGTTTTTACTTTTCTCTATTTCTGCTTAACCTTTCTTTCTTTCTTTCTTTTTTTTTTTTTTTTTTTTTTGAAATTCGAGACAAGGTTTCTCCATAGCTTTTGGTTCCTGTCCTGGAACTAGCTCTTGTAGACCAGGCTGGCCTCAAACTCACAGAGATCCGCCTGCCTCTGCCTCCTGAGTGCTGGGATGAAAGGCATGCACCACCACCGCCCGACAACTTTTCTTTTTTTCTTTGCGGTCTGCTGTTTCACTGGGTTGCTGGCCCCTTGAGTCCTTCTCCCCTTGTTCTATCTTGCACCTTCTTTTTTTCTCCTATTTATTTTCTCTGCCTGCCAGCCCCACCTATCCTTTCTCTTGCCTCACTATTGGCCATTCAGCTCTTTCTTAGACCATCAGGTACTTTAGACAGGCACAGTAACACAGCTTCACAGAGTTAAACAAATGCAGCATAAAAGAATGCTACAGATCTTTGCATCATTAAACAACGTTTCACAGCATAAACAAATATAATACATCTTAAAATAATATTCTACAACATGGTTAGCAAAGTTTTTAAAGTACTACCTAATAGAAAACTCACTTATAAGTAAATTCAGTTCTGGTCACTGCTCACTGTGATCTGATAATCTTTTTTTTTTTATTGAGTTCTACATTTTTCTCTGCTCCCCTCCCTCCCTCTCCCCTCTTCCCTTCAGCCCTCCCCCAAGGTCCCCATGCTCCCAGTGTACTCAGATCTTGTCTTTTTCTACTTCCCATGTAGATTAGGTCTACGTAAATCTCTCTTAGTGTCCTCATTGTTGTCTAAGTTCTCTGAAGAATGGATAAGGAAAATGTGGTACATTGACACAATGGAGTACTTCACAGCAGAAAAAAATGACATCATGACTTTTGCAGGAAAATGGATGGAGCTAGAAAACATTATTTTGAGGGAGGTAACCCAGACACAGACAATTATCACATGTACTCACTCATAGGTGGTTTTTAAACATAAAGCAAAGAAAACCAGCCTACAAACCACAGTCTCAGATAACTTAGACAACAGTGATCTGCTAATCTTAAAAAATCAACCTTCATTAGAGGATCATTGAGAGTTTCTACACAAATCAGCTTTGCCCCTACCTGTGCAAAGTTAACTCAACGCAAGCCTCTGAAGGGAATCTTTAAACTTCTTGTAGTGCGTGCGTGTATGTGCGCGCGTGGCTGTGTTTCACTAGGGATTGAACCTACATCACACATACACTAAGTAAGTACTTTACTACTGAACTATATCCTCAGCTGTTTTTTTATATACTTGTAATATACTCTCCAGTGGAGCATGGTATTTTACACCTGTAATGCTAGCACTCTGGACATTAAGTCAAGAGAGTCAGAAGTTCAAGGCCAGCCTCGGCTGCATAGTCAAGACTACATGAGACCATGTCCTTTAAGAAAAAGCAAAACTGCTTTAGGTTCTCAACAATTCGTTACTTTTTACTTTAGAGACACATCAGACATGAAGTAATCAGATGAGATTCTGAAAGGCTCCATGTCTGAGCCTTTGGTAACACTGCAAAAAGAATGGAACCCTATACATTCTCAGGTTAGTGCATGCCCTGAAGAAAGAAAATCTAAAGTGTTTTCTTGTGTGGATGCTACTGAGAAAGGTTAACGGCATCCTACTTGGAGTTCTTGCTTCAGATAATACCACTTCTTTCTCTTGTCTGAGTTCTCACCAACTCCAGGGACACAGAAAGGTGCACAGTTACTATAGTAGGCCTGGTTCAGGCTCCCCTGTGCCTCCACATAGAAGATAGCAACCTTTCCAAGGATAGCATAGAGATTCAAAGAAATGTTAACCAGGTCTCTCACTCAGCACATGGCTTTCAGAAAGAATTTGCTATTTTGCTTGGCCCAAAAGCAAAATGTGTTCTCTGCTGAAGTAAGAACTAATATTAATCAAAGAGAATGTAATCAGGCAATAAAGGTCTTAAAAGCAGTAATAAAATTCAACTGAGAAATTTCCCTATACATAATAATTTAGCAATTAAGCTATAACTACATTGCTTTAAATAAAGGGAGTACATTCTTTTGCATTCATTGCCAACATCTGCAGAAATCAAATTCAAGCATATGGTTGCTATGTTCAGTTTGTTTGTGAGTGTATGTGTTGTGTGTGTGTATATGTGTAAACATAAGTGCGTGCAAGCAAGCATTCACGTGGAGGTTGGAGGGAGATGTTGGATTTCCCATCACTCTTTCTGTGCCCACCTCTTTTGGAGACAAGGTCTCTCAGTGAGCCTGATGCTTGCCAACTTGGCTATGCTGTCTGCCTAATGAACTTTTGGGATTGGCCTGTCTCCACCCTGCCAGCACTGGAGTTACAGGAAAGTACTACCACCATGCTCAGCTGGTTACAAGAGCTCTGGGGATCAGAACTCGGTCCCTCATGATTGCAAATCAAACGTTTTACCATCCAACCCATATTATCAGCCCTAAAGTCACCTTTCTATTAGAGAACCAGCACATAAAAATGAACACAGAAATGATAAAAAAGTTTCTGTGCTGGAAACAAACTTTATTATTGCTAAAGCATATGAATAATTCTAATTACTATGTGAGGAAGGATTCTTAGATCTCAGAGCCATGTTCATCTATTTACCATGATATTTCACATGAAATATGGACACTGATGCATTACTTCACCGATATTTGTGGTCTTTCTTTAGCAATGGCTCAGAGATCCCAGGCATTACAAAGCATAGACATTACAACTATGTGGCTTACATTTTACCACAATTGTCAATGCTACTGTGTGTTTAGTATAGCTAACTTTTTAACTAGTGCTCTTGCCCCACCTCCATTAGCATATCAATCAAATTTGCATTACTCTGCTTTGCTCGTTTTATTAAAAGGGAATTCAGGGCACAATTGACTTTTCATTTGTTTAACAAGTGAAGAAATATTTACCCTGACAGCCATTTCATTGTAGAGATTCATCTTCATATTATAATATGCTGCCTGTGAATCAAGAAAAAAGAAAAGATAGCATAGATTTCAGTTACACAAAGACAGTGCAGCCTATTTTTACATATAAAGGATAAGAATCTTTATACATAATACATAATAAGAGATCTGGGCTTAGAAAATGAAATCAAACTTTGTATTGAAGAGATAGGCTTCCTAATACATAATGCAAGCTTAACCAGAAAAATCTATGGTAGTCAAACTCAGAGCTAATGGAGATATATGATCATAAAATGCTCTCCGCTGAGTTTGATAATCAATGGTGCTCTGCTGAGAATAGAATAACAAAGCAGAAATATTCACAAGTGCTGGTGACACGTCGTATGGTATGATTTATTCACTGGGGTTCTCTTAGCCAAAACTCACAGGAACATAAAAGGAATTCATATTTCAAGACGTCGGGTTTAATGAAAAATTCAAAGAAATGCTGTCTTCAGTCGAAACCGTTCAAGGATACGGATGCAGTGATGGGGCAAAATTGTGCCTTCCAACCATCTATGTGAGATGCTATGTGCTTAGCTGCCTCCTGAGTCAGCCTTGGGAATTTTGTTTCATTTAGTATTCACTTTACTTCCATAAAACCACAAATATAATGATATCACATTACAGCAAATCCCTTGGTAGAGTGAATATTTCCTAAACTCTTAGTTTCTTTCTAAGAAAGATACTCTTTCTATTAATACCCAAATCTATGTTATATAAAGAAGCATTCAGCAATGTTTCTTATTCTAATGAAATTACTGTCTTGAATTAAAATTTCACTATCTGCTCTGTCTTTTAATTAAAAATAACAGTCTGCAGAGCTCACAACAATAAAATTAACAGTAAAAACATTTACTTAAATATTTTTTCAGCATAAAGTTGTTGACACAAAAACACAACTCTCACCTCAAAGCCAAAGAAACAGTTTACCTTGGAGCCAAATGATTGGCCATAACTTAGGAACACAGGTTTAGGTTACCTCAAATTCCTTGTTCTAACATGTAACAGTTCGATGAATTTTTAATCATTACAGAGCAAGCAAGTCATAAAGCAAGGCACTTCTAGAATACACTGGTGAATTCATCTGGTAGGAGGGTCACAGCTAAGCAGGGAGATCCTAGCTACTGGGCTCAAGTCTTCCTGTGCATCCTTAGCCTTTGGTTGGTGGAAGCCAGAGGCTTTGTACCACACTCTGAAAGGTTTTGCATGTTAGTCAAAGAGATGTTAGGGTCAGACACAGAAATGGGCAGAGAATGATTATCAAGGAGTCTGAAGATGCCAAGACAGATTGTAACTATGCTCTGGACCCGCAATGTCACAGCCTCTGCACAGCCACTGACATTCTGAGCAGGTAACCAGCCTTGTGGAACAGCCAGCGTAAGGTGTGGTTCTTTCCAAGAACTTCCCTTTATGGTCCACAGCCTCATGCATTTTTCTCCAATCAAAAGTCATGCAGCTAAAAGAATTTCACCCTAGCTTATGAGTATTAAGTTTTCTGGGTAGAAAAATAGAAAAATCAACTCAGACCTATATCCCTGGCACTTCTTCCTCATGACAGCCAAGACTCCATACAAAGGACTTTCCTATAATTAGCCTCTGTGAGTTGTCTGGTCTGACCTAGAGGAAACTGTGTAGGGCTCCGGGGATATATGACTCATCAACAATCTGAGCATTACTGCCTTTAACTTCTCCGTTTCCCTTAAACCAAATGTGCCATAATTCCTGCTATTTGAGGTAAATTAAAATATTTAATTTCATATTGTATTTAAGTTATACTAAAGATAACATTGCCATGAAATGCATATATGTGTTATTTCTCTATATATTTGCTTTCATATAGTAGTTTTTCTTTTAATTAAACATAAAAACTCAAAGAGCTCACAACAGTAAAAAATAACAGTAAAAGCATTACACACATATTTTTTCAACATAATATTGTTCACCCAAAAATACAACTCTCAGCTCATGAAAGAACGATTATTGGAAACTATGTCTTTCAGAACACTCCAATCAGTAAAAGGTGTTCTTGCCTGTTTATAAAGCACTGCACAAGTTTTGAACTCCAGACACGTTTTGTTTTTTAAATGACCTTTGTGTGTGGTGTTCATGTGAAGGTCAGAGGACAACCTGTGAGAGAAGTCAGGTCTCTCCTCTGACCCAAAGATATACAACTCATCATGCTTGGTGGCAAGACCTTACTCACTGGCCCTTGGCTTTATTTTATCATCTGAGTAGCTTTGAAAAGAATTGTAAGTCTCCTGGTCTAGATTCCCGTCCTTTAAAAAGGTATTATATGTTTTATTGAGCTGTTGTGAAGATAAAAAAAGATGAAGTCACTAAGGTGCTGGGGTTCACAGTGGGGTTGAACAGGTGCTGTGTATGGAGGTTGTACATTTAACTGCATAACACGACGGTAAAGGGGGAGCGGTGGTTTTTGAGTCCGACAACTGTGAATCTGTATTTTAAAGGCAGTGCTATCCAGAGCCTGGCCAGGAGCCCCAGCTTTGTTTGTCCTTCAGAACACAGCACCTGCGTATGGAGCATCTTCAACAAACCGGCCAAAACTGGTTTGTTGTAGAGGGCAGCTGGGGTGAGCAGCAGATAGTCTCACTTCTTTACACTCTTGCCTACAGGATAAATGGCTCAGACAGTAGACAGCAACCTCAAAGAAGGGCAGAAAACGCCTTGTTTAAAGGATCAGAAGGAGGCAGGACCTGAATTTCCAGAAACGACATGACCGTCCCTAACCTCCATTTCGAGGGCCTGTCACCCAGAAGGATCAGCGAAGCTTGCTTTTCAAGGTTATGTCTCCTGTTCTTGGCTAGCAATAAAAGTCTCCTAGATTCCCACGTTCCTATCAGCACACACACCACTAGTGGGTTCTATGTGGTGTCCCAGGTTGCCTAGTCCAGAGCTTTTGAAAATAACCTCCAAATAACAGTTTCATGTGGCTCCCTTAAAGTGTCAAACCTAGAAAAGCTGGCTACAGAGACAGACACCAGAATGATGGCTACCAGGGACCTTGGAAAGCACAAATCACTATTTAGGAAATGCTCTAGAGAGATGGTTGCATAAAAATAGAATGTATGAGCCCAGAAAGGTGGCTCAGCTGTTCAGAGCCCACACTACTCTTCCAGAGGACCCAAATTTGGTAGTCCCCAGTCCCGTCCACTGCTGTAATTCCAGGTCAAGGTGACCAAACACCCTCTTCTGTCCTGTGCAGGTGCTCACGTGTGCATACACACCACTACATACATGTACACATAGATAAATATAAAATATTTTTCAAAATGTGAATGCATCTGAATAGTACAGTTAAAACAATTAAAATGTTTATTACATATGTTTCAGCATCTTTAAAATCACTCAGAAAAGGCGTTTGACCTGTATGTATCGCAATACAATCTCAAAGATGTAGGTAGACATTCCAATTCAGTTGATCTTTGTTTTTCTAGTCTGAACAATGATTTTTTTGTAATGTTAATGTTTCCATGTAGTTGGACAAGCAAGGGAGATGGTAGCAACCCATATAAGCAAAACTAAAAGCTACCACAATTTTTCAGCCAACAAAAACTTTAATTCTTACTATTAACCAAACTTCTATTCCTTCGTTATTGAGACTCCAAGTTCACTTTAAACAGGAAAGTAAAAGCTCTGTCATGTCATAAGGACCACCCATGCAAGGAGTACAGTTTCACTATAATGCAGATATGGCACCCACTCACTGAGGGTCAACTGGTGCTTTCTGGGTAAACTCCAGAAGTAAATGAAGGGAGGTGGGAGGAAAAACAGGGAAAGGAAAGTAAAGAAGATTGGTACCTCAGATGTACAACGAGTAAAACTCGCCAAGATCAAAGGCCAGCACTTGAGCACATCAGCTTTAAGTGGTCTTTGCCTTATCGCTTGGGAGAGCCGCCATGGAAGGCATTTTCCTTTGGAAAATGTACTTATTTGTCTGTGTGGCTGATGCGCATATGGACTTGTTATGTTGTGATTTCTAACAGTCGTCCTTTCTAACTTGCTGGCCACTGGTTCTGTTCAGTAAATGACTATGCTGTGGGTACAGACAGGCTATGAACATCTCAGTGCTTCTGAGGAGACTTTGAGGCCTTAGCTCCTCAGTGACTCTGCTTGGCTAAGCCCCCAGGCCCACAGTGGCTATGGTCATCTATTTTACTTTTAAGACCACCCTTTCTGGTCAGTCCCTGAACATGGTCAGGTCTCTCTCCCTTTTTACTGTAAATGTTCATGACCATTTCTTCCTATTTTGACTTCATTCAGACACCTTCATCACATTGAGTGTTTAAAAATAATGCTTTCATTGACCTTTTGTGATTAAAAAGAAAAGACCTTCACACATTTCCAATTGCATGAGGTAAAGCATCTGACTGGGCTGACTGACACAATGGACACACTTGGATGTGGTCATTTCCAGGAGCGTGATGAAGTGCCAAGCTAAAGCACGGATCACACAAGTGTTTCATTTCTCCAGCAGCATAATGGCTGCTGGTCAGATTATGTCCACATTGCTTTGTCTCTCTGTCTCTCTGCCTGTCTGTCTATATCTCTTTCTTACCCACTCTTTCTCTTTCTACAAAGTCATTTATTATGGGGAGTCAGATAAATGAGAACTGCTCCTGTATTGGACCAAATATAACAATCAAAGTTCATCAAAGCAATGCCAAGATTTCTTTACCACTGTCTCTAACAACTCCCTTCCCTTACCCTTCAGCCTGATTCTCTTATTGTTCTCAATGCCACTCCTCCTGCCTGAAACCTCTCCCATTCCTTATGTCTGCACAGGTTCCACTCCTGGTTTTCCTAAAAGCATCTGTGGGAGAATCTGCCCTTTCTCCCTACTCCAAGTCTACCAGCTGGAACTTAGTACGTCCATAGCTCCAGTGGGCTCTGTGAAATAACTCCCAAAACAAAAGGGAACCTCAAACTTTTCTGAGTTATATTTTAATGATATGCATGCATAATGTTTGCTTCTGTAGTCGGCTATAAAGTAA